AGTGAGACAACAGTTTCGGAATCGTTTCGAATCGATTCCGAAACTGTTGTCTCACTTTCTTCAATGAATCTAGTTTGTTCATTGTGGGTTTTTCTACCATAGTATCAACACGGTAGAGTGTTTTTCCATTCATACATATATATATATATATATATATATATATATATATATATATATATATATATAATATATATACATTGAATACATAGATTATGAAGTATGATAAAATTCTAGTCAGTGATCCTACACCAACGTAAATCCACGTTGGCAAACATGTACAAAACGCGTGGCGCCCCAAACCCTCAGATTCTCAACCCCTCTCGCCCTTCGCACTGACCTCCCCATCCTCCCTTATTTCCCCATCCTCCCCCAACCCACCCCCTCGACCCCGCGCTTACCCTTGAGGTCGTGCGTGGCCGTGGAGCCGTCCGTGAGCGTCCTTTGGCCCTGAAAGAGACCGAAGTTGATGGTCCCCGTGCTCGTGGCCTGGTCCGTGTGGCAGGTGGCCTCGAACCAGTTCATGGTGGCCATGGCAGAGGCCAGGAGGGAGGCCCCGAGGCAGCACAGGATGAAGGATCCGAAGATGAAGGATTTCTTTTGCGCGCGGGACTTCTTGGTGGCCATCTTGAGTGCCAGGGAAGAGGGGAAAATTGAGGGGGGAAAGTGGCTTCAGGTCAAAGGATGTTTCGGCGATAAAAACGGGACTTTTTACGTTTTTATTTTATTTTAAGGTCAAAGGATGTTTCGTCGATAAAATCAGGAATTTTACGTTTTTATTTTATTCTATTTTTATTTTTTCTTAAGTTGACTGGGGGAATTACCGTGTATTCGACCCGGTTTATTACCTTAGAGATTCATTAATTGAAAAAAATAGAAATTAAAGTACACTGTATTTAGAAAAAAAAAAACAATCAAGGAAGACGTACTTTGAATATTATCAAGAAATATTTCAAAAGGTAAGTGAAGTTAATAACACCTCTTCTAAAAGAATATTCACGAACTTATAGGCCAAGAGCAAGTGTTTCCAATCATTAAATCTGAGAAAATATAAAAAAAAAAAATTCTCTTACTTTGTCCTCTGGGAACTTCACTTTCTGCAATAAATCTCTTCGCTTTTCTTCAAGTGCTTTTCAGTTTTATTCCTGTCGCAAGAATGAGAAAAATTACGATACATGCCGATAGCACAGGTATACAGGTGTTTGTGATTGTTGGTGTGTATGTATTTTTTACGCGTATTTTGTATGAATATACAGTAGATATATATAAGTGTGATATATATATATATATATATATATATATATATATATATATATATATATATATATATAAACACAAACACACACACAAGCACACACACACACAGGCACACAAACAAACATACACACACGCACACACACACACAAGCACAAACACACACACACAAACACACAAACAACACACACAAGGCACACACAAACAAACACACAACACACACAAACAAACACACACAAAACACACACACACACACACACCCACAAACACACACACACACATATATTCCTGTCGCGTGTGTGTGCGTGTATGTGCGTGTGTATGCATCATCCAACGCCAATGCATCGCCAAAATATATTATTTCCGAGCAGCAGTTAGTTCGCTGTATAATCGTACACTTGGAGACTGAGATTTCGAGGACCACTTTCTAAAACTGTTCGCTTCTCTTGTTCTCTGCTGTTTTCTCTCTCTTTTTTCTTTCTCTTTTATTATTTTTCATTTTCATTTTTTATGTTTTTTTTTTTTTTTTTTTTTTTCTTTAATTGTTATTTTGATTCTCTTTTTTTCTTTTTTTTTCATTTTCTCTTCTTTTCATTTTTTTTCCTTTTTTTTATTTCCTTTTCTTTTTCTTTATCTTTACCTTCATCTTCTTCTCCTTGATCTTCTTCTTTATCTTTTTTATCTTCTTTTTCTTTTTCTTTTTCTTCTTCAATATTAACAAACTGAATCATAATAATCGTCTCTATTTTTTTCTTCTTCCCGACCGTTATCAAGGATCGATGACGTCATCACGTGACACACTGTTGCCACATCGTCCTCGTTATCTGATAGCAGAAATCGGACACATTTCTGATACAGGAATAGCCCCGGCGAGGCTCAGCTTTTCTTTATTTCTGACACGTTTCTGGCACGTTTCTGGTACGTTTATGACACATTTCTGGCACGTTTATGACACGTTTATGGCACGTTTATGACACGTTTATGACACGTTTATGACACATTTCTGGCACGTTTATGACACGTTTCTGGTATGTTTCTGACACATTGCCGACATGTTTCTGACACATTTCTGACACGTTTCTTGTACAAGTGTGGATCCGACACTTTTTTAAGGGTTTTGTGACATACGTTTTCCATAGAGGTTTTTGGATTTAGAATATATTAAATAAATGTATTATGTGACGTAAATTGAAAAACAAAAGATAAATAACGTAGGATAACGAATGAACTGAATATGAATAATTGATAAATAACCCAAAGAATAAATTTTAAAAAATTAAAAATCATAAATAAGTGCATACGTAAATAAATAACTAAATTGACAACTTTTCTCTTTTTTCAGCCGAACTGTGAGCATACTAGCAGCAAAATTTCTTCATTATTGTTATTATTATCACTACTACTATTTTTATCATTATTTTCATTATTACTTTTATCATAATTTACATCATCGTTGTTATTACTATTATCATTATTATCATTATTATTATTATTATTATTATTATTATTATTATTATCATTATTATATTTCATTATCATTACTACATTATTATCATTATTATTATTATCATTATTATCATTACCATTATCATCATTATCATCCTCATTATTATCATCATCATTTATCTACCTATCTATTCACATCCTCTCTCCATCTAACCGATCTGTAAGCATCCGATTGACAAAAAAATTCGGTTCGCAACACTGACCGAACTTTACCCGCAGAATCAGCTGATCGGTTCCACTCTGTTTACTACGGCGAACACAGACCATCTCAAGACTCCCCCGTCATTCACAAATCCCCGTGCATGACAGAATCCGAGACGGGTGAATCATGCCTTTATTTATCGCAATGGGGGGCGGGGGGGGGGTTAGATGATGAGGCAAAAAAATGAAAATAAATGGATATCTTTAAGGATTTTGGGAGGTATTCGTTTGGGAGGTAAGAATTCGTGAGAAAATGGAAGAATGAGAGAGAGGGAGGGTTGGGGGAGGGGGAGAGGGAGGGAGAGGGAAGGAGGGAGGGAGGGAGGGGGAGAGAGAGAGAGAGAGAGAGAAGAGAGAGAAGAGAGAGAGAGAAGAGAGAGAAGAGAGAGAGAGAGAGGAGAGAAGAGAGAGAGAAGAAAGAGATGAAGGAAGAAGAGAGAGAAACACAAAAAAAATGAAAGGAAGCACAAAAAACGAGAAAAAAAAAAAACATTTTGATCGGAGGAGTACGAGCGCAAAGATGAAAAAAAAAACACAACAAACACGAAAACGGAAATAATGACGATCTGATATCATGCAGTGACTCCTCTTTCCTCTGAGTCGTTTGTCTTCTGGACTTACTGTTACTCGCTAGCTTATCGGAATGATCTATTATCTAAAAAAATATGAGGGAGATATATTTCATCTCAGGTACATCTTTCTGCATAAATAATTCGAACTCTTTGTTGCCAGATGTTCGGGGAATTTATAGTTTGCTGCGATGTCGGTTCGAGAATTTTATCATCTGTAGTAAACTCGAACTGTAAGCTGCCTTCTTATTGTGTACGGCTTTCTCTCTGTATTTTCCCTTTTTTTGGGTTTATTTTGGTCTTTTCTTCAGTCTATCCGTCTTTTGTCACTTCGTCTTCCGCCATTATCCGTGTTCATTATGAAGTTCTGAATGAATAACACGACCCGCCTTTCAGTTCACGCGCACAAAAGTGATTCTTCCCGTCGCTTATAAACCTCTTTTCTTCGACCGTTATTCACAGGAGCACACAACACTCTTCCCCCCACCCCACCCCACTCGCTTTCACCTCCCGAAATACGCACACAGGAGTTTAAATAGCCGTTATATGCACTCCGTTTCGAGCCGTAAATGTTACCCTGCTCTTTCCCCTTGTACTGCGGCCGCCGGGATGGACAACACTCCTGCTTGTCTTATCACTTCTTAACACATTTTTTTCATATCTTATCGGCCTTATCATGTCATTTATCTAAATTTGCCTTTCTATCCACCTATGACATCAACTCCATGACGCGGGGGATTAACCAGTAGTAATTTTAAGGAAAAAAAAATATACGTATGTTAATATTAACCTTAAGTTGATCCTCTATGTCTTATAAAATGGTTCTCCATAACCTTATCGACGGTGGATATCTTATCAATTTGGAGAATAACCTTCCAAAATTACCTTATCGGACAGGAACAATGAAAAAATTACAAAACAGATACGATGTACAATAAATACAGTGAAGATATATATGAATTACGTAACTATTTACAATATTATGTAACATACTTTCATACTCCATTTAGACATATGATAGCAAGTATTTTGTTTGACAGATGATACAGTTACAATAAATATGCAAATTAGCTTAATTAGTGCAAGCCAATTAATCAGATAAGGTGATCTGAGACACCCCCCCCCCGCACATATCGTGTCCAGGGATAGAATATTCGAATATTATTGTAATATGTTGGATATAGAGATTATGAAAAGTGTGTGTGTGTGTGTGAGTGTGCTTGTGTGTGTGTGTGTGTGTGTGTGTGTCTGTGTGTTGTGTGCGTGATCGTGTGTGTGTGAGCGTGTGTGTGTGTGTGTATGTGTGTGTGTGGCGTGAGCGTGTGTGTATGTGAGCGTGTGTGCGCGCGTGAGCGTATGTGTTCGTAAGCATGTGTGTGTCCGTGCGCGTGTGTGTGCGGGCGTGTAAGTATATTAACATACCCTACAGATAAATTACTGAAAATGAACTGCTATTCCCTGTTCGCAACATAAACCGTTCAAAACTTTTCGGGGTTAATGAAGCCAAAATATAAACAAAGGTTCAAAAAGGTTCAAATGAAGCGAGAATATTCCCTGCATCACAGTCAACAGCGCCAGAGACACGACATACAGCTCACACGCAGATATGCCGACTAAATTATGTTATCCAAGATATTTCCTTTTCTCTCTCTCTCTTTCTCTCTCTTCTCTCTCTCTCTCTCCTCTTATCTCAAGTATCTTCTCTTCCTCTCTCTTCTCTCTCTCTCTCTCTCTCTCTCTCTCTCTCTCTCTTTTCTTTCTCTTCTCTTTCTCCTGCTATCTTTATTGACTTTTTTATCTTGCTTTCTTTATCTACAGCTCACACGCTATGCCTGATAAATATTTTTCCTCTCTCTCTCTATCTTCTATTCTCTTTCTCTTTCTGTCTGTCTATCTTTATTGACTTTTTATCTATCTCTTTCTTTTTTTATTTATCTACTTCTTCTTTTTATCTATTTATTACTACTATTTTTATCGACTTTTGATCTATCTCTATCTTTCTTTATCTATTTACCTACTTCTCTTTTTATCTATTTATTACTACTATTTTTATCGACTTTTATCTTTATCTTACTTTATTTATCTATCTATTTCTCCTTTCATCTATTCATTACTACTATTTTTATCGACTTTTTATCTATCTCTATCTTTCTTTATCTATTTACCGATTTCCCTTTTTTATCTATCTATTACTATCGAAGTTATAATTACATTATAATTTATTTTTATATATTCTTTCTTTATCTACTTCTTCTTTTTTATCTATTTATCTATTTATATTTATCTACTTCTTCTTTTGTATCTATTTATTAATATTTAATATTTTTTTTATCTATTTTTAATCGTCTTTATTGAATCGACCAGTTATTTGGACTCGAAGCTGTCAAACTTACAGAAACTAGTCAATTAGTAATTACCTCGTTAACATGTCCTTGTTTGCACAATTGCAACTCTGAAATGAAGTGGTGTATGTCTCGTTACGTTATTGATCATGCAATCACCTGTTGGCTTGCATGCAGGTGCACAGCTTCCACATGTAAAGGAAAAAAGGTGAAAAAGAAAAAAAAAAATCCTCTAAATTTCTTCATTTCTTTAAGTGAGGAGAGGGATAAAAATAAATAAATAAATAAAAATAAAAAAAAAAAAACATCCAAAGATTTAATTAGAGTATTCAAAGGGGAAAAAATTATAGAAAGACAGAAAGAACAAATAGAAAAAATATAAATAAAAAACATCCAAAGATTTAATTAGAGAATTCAAAAGGGGAAAAAGTCATAGAAAGATAGAAATAACAAATAAAAATAACTAAATGCAACACCGCAATATGTTATAACTTAGAAGGGTTGAAAGGGAAGAGAAGAGAGAGAGAGAAGGGGGGGGGGGGGGGGTAGAGGGTCACGTGATCAGAAGGGGTCGTGTGCAAATGGCTTTGTTTATGTAGGCAATCAAACGTAATTAGAACCGTAGAGGGGTCTGGTTTAACTCTCTCTCTAGTTCTCTTGCTGTTAATGTTTCCCCTTCCGTTCGTTTCCTTCTCTTTTTCTTTTTCTTTTCTTTTTTTTTTTTTTACTTTTTTTCTTTCTCTTTTTCTTTCTTATTCTTTTCTTTAACTTCTTTTTTTCCTTTCTCTTTTACTTTCTCTTTCTCTTTATTTTATCGACTTTTTTATCTCTATCTTCCTTTTCTTTTTTTTATCTATTAATTTCATTTTATTTATCTATCTACTACGCCTCTCTCGCTCTCTCGCTCTCTCTCTCTCTCGCTCTCTCTCTCTCTCTCTCTCTCGCTCTTCTCTCTCTCTCTCTCTCCTCTCTCTCTCTCTCTCTCTCTCTCTCTCTCTCTCTCTCTCTCCTCTCTCCCCTCTCCCTCTCTTCCTCTCTCTCTCTCTCCCCTCTCTCTCCCCCTCTCCCTCCCTCTCCCTTACCCTCCCCTCCTCCTCTTCCCTCTCCATCTTCCTCTCCATCTTCCTCCTCCCTTCCATCCCCCTTTCCCTCCCCCTCTACTTCCCTCTCCCTCTCCCCTCTCCATCTTCCTCTCCATCCCTCCCCTCTCCTCCCCCCTATACCTTCCCCTCTCCCTCTCCATCTTCCTTTCCGTCTTCCTCCATCTCCCTCTCCATCTCCCTCTCTCCCTCCCTCCCCCTCCCCCTTATCTTTCCCCACCTCAAGACGAGATATTCAGAAAATCCTTCCGCACCATTTTCATTCTCCTCCCTCCATCTATCCCCTCACTTCCATTTCTTCTCGTTATCCCTCTCCGCCTCTTCCTCTTTTTTCTCTTCATATTGACTATAAGTTTATCATCATTTCCGGGTGTCTCTGTGGCTCATATGACAATGCAAATTCGGGTGAATTATGTGTTTTATTGTTCGTGTGATTTATTGTTAAACATTACTACTTTTTCCCTTTTGATGTTTATTGACACGAAGGAAGGGAGAGAAGGAGAGAAGGAGAGAATGGAGAGCGAGAGAGGGGGGAGTGGGAGAGGGAGGTAGGGGGTGAGGGCGAGGGAGAGAGGAAGGAAGGAAGTGAGGAAGGGAGGAAGGAAGGAAGGAAGAAGAAGGAAGGGAGGAGAAGGGAGGAAGGGAGAGAGAAGAGAGAGAGAGAGAGAGAGAGAGAGAGAGAGAGAGAGAGAGAGAGAGAGAGAGAGAGAGAAGAGAGAGAGAGGGAGAGGGAGGGGGGATATATTTATATATATATATATATATATATATAGAGAGAGAGAGAGAGAGAGAGAGAGACAGACAGACAGACAGACAGACAGACAGACAGACAGACAGACAGACAGAAACCGACACTGCCCGAAAGACAGAAAGAGACAAACAGAGAAGCACAGAACAAGCCAACAGACAGGCAGACAATCATAGACCAAGCCGACAAACAAACAAGCCAAGACACATAAATGGAGGATCAATCATGCACAGAGAGACAGAGAAGACGAAGGAGCAAAGAGATAACACAGAAGCCAAATACATATGCGCGCCCACACGCCCGCACAGACAAGTCACAAGATTCCAACCTCTTCTTTACTCATCTTTGCATCTGAAGAGTAAATGTCGGTGAATAATTCAAGTAAATATGAATAAATAATGTGACAAATTATAAGTAAACAAATATAATACAAATTATAAGTAGAGAAATGTGACACATATAAGGAAATAAATGTGGCACAAATTACAAGTAAAGAAATGTGACACAAATTAATAAACAAATAAATATGAAGAAAAAAATATGAAAAAGTAAAAAGAGAACAATATAACATAGCAAATGGATAAATAAAAGAGTAAATATAAACAAACACATATAAAATGTAAAAGTAACTGTAAATCAATAAAATTAGATTAAATATAAGTAAATAATCTGACCATAACCACCCAAGTTTTTTGTTTTGTTTTGTTTTTGTTTTTTGTTTTTTGTCTTGAAATACAACCACTGGCGGACAACGGTCCTTCCCTGCGAAAATATTGTTATTTCGTGTGCGTGCGCGTGTGCGTGAGGGGGGGGGGTACGTGCGTGCGTTGTGTGTGTGTGTGTGTGTGTGTGTGTGTGTGTGTGTGTGTGTGTGTGTGTGTGTGTGTGTGTGTGTGTGTGTGTGTGTGTGTGTGTGTGTGTGTGTGTGTGTGTGTGTGTGTGTGTGTGTGTGTGTGTGTGTGGTGCGTGTGTGTGAATTAGTGAATAAGTGAGTGAGTGAGTGTGTCTCTGTCTCTGTCTGTATCTCTATCTGTGTGTGTGTGTGTTCTGTGCTTTTCCCACGCACATACACCTACACGAGCGAACAGAAACACAAGCCGTGTACGTGCGCCGCCCCAAGACCATTCCTAACCGCAAGCCCTGGATTTTGTTGCCAGGTAGCACCGGATATCCTTATGACTGGCTCGGAGGCCCATGATTTAACTGGAGATGGCTTCCGTCTCTCGAACGCAGACGGAGAACGGGCGGGTGAAGGAGGAGGGGAAGGGGAGGAGGGGTAGAAGGATGGGGGGAAGGGGGGGCAGGAGAGATGGAAGGGGGAGGTGGAGGAGGGTAGAAGGGGGAAGGGGGGAAGGGGGAGGAGGATAAAAGGATGGGATGGAAGGGGGGAGGAGGAAGAGATGGGGTGAAAGGGGGCAGGAGACAGGGAACGGGC